GGCGCACCAAGCCAGAGAATCCAAATCATGAGTGTCCAAACCACCTCCTACTTCATACTAGCATAGTGTTTCAGGAGGGTGGTTGGGTGCTCTGAATCCAAGTTCTGTGCTTCTTGCATCCTTTGTGGTCAAGGAGCTCGCCCAAAAGTCGCCGTGCTTCATCCGAGCCCTTCACTGCTGAGGATTGCGGTTGCAATGAAAGCACCATTAATGTGGCGGAGGCGGGGGCTGTTCCGAGCGGAAAACGTGCGGATCCGATCCGAGACGCGCGGATCCGGGTCAGCTGTCCGTGTTGGTGCAGTGCGAGTAGCCGGGACCTGGGACCTGGATTGAGTGGGGCCGTTGAGGAACTCAATAGCGGTTAGTTAATAACATAGTTTCTTGCAGTAGGGAGATGGCGCCCGGTCACGAACATGTTCACCTTCTTTCAGAGGCAAACGGAAGGGTAGTGCACAGAAAGGGTTTTGCAAAAGCCTATTCTACTAACATCGTGGAAGGCGCGGGACATTCGCAGAACCCAAGGCTGTTCGTGGACAGTTCGTGGAATGGTGGGCCAGTAGGCGAACTGACTGCAACGAAATCCCAGAAGCCTTCGCAGAACTTCGTAGAAGGTATTTTTGATGCACTAACTTCGTATAAGTGATTTTTGCTGACCTCCTTTCTCCACACACCCTCCATTTAGCCTTCATTCTTGATGCTTTGTTTTGACTTTGTCAGTTACAGTAATAGTTAAATGACCAATGGGCCAATGGGTCGTGATCGAAAGGCGGAGTTATGGTACTCCTGTGACTCCGATGTGTGATGTGTAAGACGTAAGAACCATTACTCAACGTAAGAACCATTCATTATCCATTGCTCGACTTAATCGAGATTCGAGTTCAGTCAAAAGTCCTTACCGCTGCTCCTTACCGCTCAGCTGGTAGCTGGCGGGATCCTGAGCGGCAGCCCAGCTGACGGGACACGGCGGACACGGCTGCAGCCGAAGGTAGGAAGGATTGAATTCGACGTAAGCTGCGGCGTTTTCGGCCATCTTCGGCAGTTGACTGCAGGGGCCGCCCTCTCGGAACTAGAAGAAGCCCGGACATTGGACCAGCGCATGAAATGGGGCGACTCGCCTGACAGCCTGACAGCACATGAAAGCTTTGGCGCCAGCACCCGATGTCGAAGGGATCATGCCGATGTTGAAGCTCGGGTGGAGCTGGCCTGGCCCTGCGGCATCGCACGTATTCGACACGGTCCGGACGGCTGGTGGACCGGGCCGTGATCGCTCACAGCCGTTGTCTCCAATCAAAGGACCCGGAGGAATGGTGGACTTGTGACCTCATGTCGAGTGCTGATTAGTAAAGCTCCCTATACGACGTGGTTTTGCAACCCAAATGGGGGTGGTTTAATCAACATTCTGATCCACCTGCAGAAGAGAAAGGTGTATTTTGACAGAAGCGCTGGGCCAGCTGGAACAAGCTCCGAGGGCAGTTCAGAAGGCAACAGAGCTTTGATACGGCGCCGGCGGCCCATTGCTTGCAATATTGAAATGTTGAATGTGTTCGGAATGCGGGTGTAGATCACGGTTGCTACTTCATCTGAGGTGTTAAGTAACCCGCAGAAAACCCATTGTATATAGGGGCGTTGTATGGCATTGTATTGCCTGTGAATCAACTGACTGAGTAAAGAATTATGTACAACGGTAGGTTCTAAAGAGCGACTGATGTAACAAGCGTTCTTCGTGGTTCGTTCCTAACAAATATTTTCAATTAATAAGAAAACAGGACATCCAAGATTCAAGAACATTTTTGGAGCAAAGAGTTTCCTGTATTGAAGTCATTTTTTACTTAAAATATAGTAATTATACACAGTTTGTGTGCTTAAATAGTCATATCCTATAGTACGTCCTAGTGCTACATGACTTTCAAAATGGTTTTTCCCGTATCCACGATATCAATTTACCTTATTCCCCGTCTCGTTTTTTTGGGGTGGGAAGTAGAGTGAGATGTAGATAGATTTTGACGGTTCGATCATGTAGCAAGGGGTGAAGGAACCCCTTCCTTCACTGCAGCAACTCTACACTCAAAATCCCAAGACTTTATGATGGAGGCCATCGCTTCTAGGTTTCAGGAGCCGGACCCACAGAATCTTTGAACCATCACACTGGCACTGGTTACTGGTTGGCAGGGCTTTGTGAATAACCGACACTGGCATGAATTTATTCCGGCTGTTGAAGAGGTGTTTCATTGTGTCAGAGGGCACCATGGTGTTGCAAGAGAACTCTTCCAACAGGAGGCTGTGGATCGATCCATCTCTGGACTGTGACAAAGACCTCGCCAGGGGCGTATCAATTGCCAGTCCTGCAGCAACGGTTTGCATTGTCCATTTGCTTCGACGCTCCTTGCTTGAAATGTCAGAAGCCTGTTTGGGTGTTCAAGCATCAGACTTGCCTTTTCAGCGTTCGATCAGATGCTAGAAAATCAGGATCAGGACTTAGGAGAAAGGGACCAAAAAGGTGTTGCTTGCTACTCGCAGCACATGCTGCTTTGCATGCTGAAAACCAGTGGTTGCCTATATAGACGGGTTCGATGCGAGAATCATATTGCGGCACTTGTGGAGATTAACAAGCAAACATTCTTTGACATAAAAATGCGAGCGACCTTCCTTGACGCCCTGGTATGTGACTGAATGATCTATTACTTTGTATAGAATTATATACGTAGACCATGCAGATCGTATTTACCAGGTGGGGCAGCAAAACCGGTATGTCCATCATGAAGCGCCCTTCAGGAGCCCGCGATCATCTCATAAACTCTCCAGTTTCAGTTCCTAAAGAACATGGCGTTCACACGCCAGGATTCTTTCGGTACGGATGGTTTCGCTAGGCCAAGGCTCGGTGGTGTATTCGGTGCCGCTTTGTTTACATTTCACAATCGGTTCAGGTTTCATGCATTGAAGTAGTCAACACCTCTGCCCAGGAACCCGGAAAAAGAATCCAAGGGAATTCGGCTTGTCCTTATCCACTAATCTCTTGATTTGCCATGCCACCCTAGTCTGTTGCCACTCAAAACGCGACAACTCATAGTCACTCAAAATCAATGGCGCCACATATTGCCACCAGTTCAAAGACAAAGTCCTTCTTGGACACTTGATGCTGACGAGACCCATGATGGATCCCATGTATCCTGCTGAGGTTGGAAGGGCTGAAGACGGGCCAGTCGAGGTTGGGGCAAAGGTTTGTGCCGGAAGTGCAGAGAGGCTCCTTGGATTTGAAGCATCTTAAAGTCTTAGATCTTAAACCTCAAGATACCAGGCTTATCAGGATTATCTGTTAAAAACCTTCCCTAGACAATCATGGAAGCTGAGCAGACCCTGCTTGTAGAAGAGTTCATGGTCTTCCAGTGGCCGAACTGTTCCACTTCCATGTTTGTTTTCAGGAATGTAATGCGTTATGTTCATGCAAATTATTGCTCCATCGGTTGAGACCCAATGTTCGTGCCGGTACGAAAACGTCTAAAACGTGATGGCTTTCACGTTGAAACCGTTCGAACCCTCCCAGTGTGACCGCGCGTTCGAACGCGCCGCGTTCCGCTACTTGGAACATCGGCGGTTTCTTCCTTCACGCGTTCCGCTCCAGCGTCGCTACCTTCGAGTTGGGGAGTTGGTTGGGAGGGAGGTTTTTGAGCCCCAAAACCCCTCCAACACCTAACACACACACACACACCAAACACATCTACAGTCTACCCATGAACTGGTCATCAGAGCCAGCAACAGGACAATTACACATAAAACAGTAATACAATACAATGTAATACATATCTATACAGTATGCATACAGTATATACAACGGATTTTCCTATTAGTTTACTCGGTTCCTTCACCAAATCCAAAAATGGACGTGTAGGCCCTTATAGCTTGGACGCTTTTTCATCCCCCGGACGTGGATCCCTTGACTCGGATTTGTTCGAGTCGAACAAGGTCACCTACTGGGACATGGCGGGGTGGTTGATCAGCTCAGCGCCAGCTTGCGACTGATCAACCACGCCGTCCAGCTACGGAACAACTACGGAACTGTCAGTCACTATGGTCCCAGCTCAGGTGAGATGAGCTTTTACAGATCACACTTAGGAGAAACAGCCTAGGTCTACCAGGCCCTCATGCATGTTCTAATTCAATCTAATTCAACTGTATTTTTCAAAAGGATCCTGATCCTCATGAGTATTGCATACACACGAATTGCTGGTTGCTCCGAAGCTGAAAACGAAAGTCTGAGTAGGAGGGCCTGATCTAATGAGTTCTCTTTTGGGTCAAGAATGATCGAAGCCAATGAGTTGCGCTCAGATTCCAAGACCAAGTAGAGAAATCCCAAGTACGATAAGTACGGCAAGGCCTTTCCGGGTTGGTTTCCCTACTAAAAACTACGAGGATCATTGAAGTTCATACAGTTTCCATCAATTTGGAATTTGCCAATTATAAGAATCTTCCGCCTGCTGATTTCACTGGAGTCAGTACTGCTCAAGCAAATGACCAGACAGGTGGGCTCTAGACATTGCAGACAGGTGGGAGAAACATGGACGAACCATTCTCCTCGTAGTCACCGGACCGTTTGAACAATAGCCATGGGCCCTGAGGACCTACCCCGATTTGTTCAAACCGAAAGGCACGAGTCCTGCCGGGCCTGTCCCGGGCATGTGAGGGAAAGTGACTAAGGGTGGAATCCATGGGTACAATGACTAAAGTGATATGATGTGATTTGATAGCAAAAAAGTTGCCCCTCCAAAACTCATTTGGGGAATCGTCAGGGTCAAGATTCTGTCGATCACAAGGATTAACCCTGCACCAAGCTCATGTTGAGACCAGTCTCATTGTATGCGCTGCATAGACCCAGACGAGTCTCTTAATGAGTCTCCTTTATCGATTCTTACCTTGGGGCAAGCCTTGAGGCTACCTGATGCGCATACCCGAGGCTACTATAGCTCCTGCGAAGACCCGTTAGACGTTTTCAGGCGGCCGGATCTGCGTACATGGGCCCGACAGCTTTGACAGATAAGGTGTCACTAGGGCAATTGGTAGTCAAGTGGTTGTAAACGCACTCAATAAGATCCCAGCTTACAAGGAGGTTGGCAGACACGTGGATGAGCAGTCAAGTTACTTCCTCTTAACTAAGTATATAAGCGCTTTCATGCTCGTTCAGGTATGTGTTGGCCCCATCATTAGCACAATGGGAGGGGAAATCTTTGGCGGATTCTCTTCTTTTGTTTGGGTAGGTCATGAAGATCGGTGAAGATTGGTGAAGATGTTTTGAGAATTGGACTCGTTTCGCAGGGGGGAACCCAGTGATCATCGTCCAAAGACTCTTCTTTTCGGGGTGGGACTGACAGAATTTTCAGGAAGAAGCACATGTTGAAAGAAGCATTGTCTTAAGAACCTTCACTTTGGGCACAGTTAGCCTTTGAACAAAGACCTGAATGGCTTGCTGAGACGGTCTAGAACGAGCTGAAACGCACTAGTGCCAGGTGGTCATTGAAATCAAATTCTCCTTCGAAAGGACTGGACTGTAGATCTTCCAAAGGTCGATTCTGCGGTTTTTACGACTTGATTGACTCGCTCCCACCAGGTGCCGGAAGCAATGGCATTGCCCTGGCACCGTCGCATGGCTGTGAAACACCAGAGATGAAACACCCGTCATCCGTGGAACAGGAATTCTGCTTCGCAACCAAGCCAAGTTGATAATTGGAAGATTCTAGAAGTATGATATGACTACGCAGTATGGGTTGTCTTTTAGGTGAATCAGTGTGTGTGTGTGTGTCAACACCTGTTTCCAAGGAAGATGCATCGAATAATTCACCGTTGATGGTCAAAATACAGGTAAGAAGCAGGGGGATGCCGGGGATTTCCATGGTCGGCATCCAACGAAGACACCATGGATTTCCTGTGATATGAGTTAGGGACGCCTGACTCACGTACCTGCATTTGTAAAGGGCTACTGAGCGATGTTAAACAATTTCTGGTTCCCGCACTCTTTCGCCTTTCCGTTTGCAAGTCAAGGTCTAGCTTTGCATCCGGTAACGTAATCACTAGAGTGGTCTACCTTCACTGAATCAGCCCTTGCGAGCATCAATCTAAGTGTGTGTCGCCACAGAGTTCCACTGAGGGCTGTGGTGTGATCCCCATCGAGGGGCGCAACATGTGCATAGACCCGCAAAGGGGGGCCCTCTCTGATTCCTCGTCCTTCATTCGGGAGCTTCTTTCGGATCTTCACTGGCTTGTTCGTTCTGCTTGGATTTGTTGATCGAAGGCCGCTGGGCCTCCTGAGATCGAACTACTGAACATCACCACATGATCATGTGCGACTTTTGACAAACGAAACAAACTCCGACACGTTCAAGGACTTCAACAGTGCCTCCGGGCCAGTGCGCACCCCATGCACGAGAATTCGCCAGCCTTTCCCCCCAGCCCACACCCCCGGCCCCCCTTGCACCTTTCTTCTTTTCTTGCCTTTTCGTTTGCTTTGTTCTTTCTCTCAGGCTTTTTAGGTGGACATCCAGGCTCGTTTAGTCAATGCACACCCCTGCCCCCCCGCACCCCTTGCACCTTTATCTGCTTCTCTTGCCTTTTCGTTTGCCTTGTTCTTTCTCTCAGGCTTGTTAGGTGGACATCACTGAGGCGCGTTTAGTCAACGCACCCCTCCCCCCCCACCCCTACCCGCGAGACAAAAAGAGAGCGCGCCGATTTCGGCTTTCTGTGTGTGTCAACACCTGTTTCCAAGGAAGATGCATCGAATAATTCACCGTTGATGGTCAAAATACAGGTAAGAAGCAGAGGGACGCCGGGGATTTCCATGGTCGGCATCCAACGAAGACACCATGGATTTCCTGTGATATGAGTTAGGGACGCCTGACTCACGTACCTGCATTTGTAAAGGGCTACTGAGCGATGTTAAACAGTTTCTGGTTCCCGCACTCTTTCGCCTTTCCGTTTGCAAGTCAAGGTCTAGCTCTGCATCCGGTAACGTAATCACTAGAGTAGACTACCTTCACGGATTCAGCTCTTGCGAGCGTCAATCTAAGTGTGTGTGAAGCCCTTGGAGTCACAGGGATTCTTTTGAACTTGTTTTATTCTCCTGGTTTTGTCGCAGCAGGGAGTGCGGCATGATTGTGGCGCACTCAATGAAGCTACCGCAATCATGCGATACCGAGTCTGATCACTGATCAACTCGGCGTACCTGCAGTTTTTACCAGCAAATTTCCCAGTTGGTCCCATTGGTAAATAGAACAAGCTGACCAGCCATAGCATCCGTTCCATCACTGCAGTCACGCAGTTTGGTTTTGAGCTTTGGACCTGAACTTCGACCTTTCTCAGGGATATGGTCACCTAGGCTGCCGTGTGACGAGTGTTGCTGGCTTCATGCCAGCCCAGGGTGAACCCGAGGAGTGTCCCCTGTTGACCCCGTCAAATATGGGTTTGTCTATGTTTCCACTGCTCGGAAACGGAGTAGCTCGCAGCGAGCGTAGGAGGCTTATGCCAAAGTTATTTGCGAAGACCTACTGAATTTGAATAGGCAGCCTCCGGGCCCGCCATGAGGTGACCGCAGCGGTCCAAGCAGCCCGCCCTTTTGGCATGACACAAGCAAGGTGACCAAAGCGGTCAAAGCTTTTTAAAGGTCCATTGGGACCTGCTGGAGCCCTAGAGTGATGATTCCTCCTCCCCCTCCTTCGATTTGACCGAAACTCGTACCTTTTCCTGACTTGTTTCTCATCACCCTCTGTTCGCGGCCTTAGAGGAAATTAAAAGGTTTAACCTCCCTAATCGGGAGGCATGTGTGTGTGAAACCTTTGGAGTCACAGGGCTTCTTTTGAATTGGTTTTATTCTTTTGAGTCACAGGGGAGTGCGGCATGATTGTGGCACACGCAATGAAGCTACCGCAATCATGGGATATCGAGTCTGATCAACTCGGCGTACCTGCAGTTTTTACCGGCGAATTTCCCGGTTGGTCCCGTTGGAAACTAGAACAAGCTGACCAGCCACGTTCCATCACTGCAGTCACGCACTTAGGTTTCGAGCTTTGGACCTCAACTCTGACCTTTCTCAGGAATATGGTTACCTAGGTTGCCGTGTGGCGAGTTGCATTCATTTCATCTACAGCGTCTGGAAGGTGAAAACTCTCCAGCACCAGTTGCTCACCAGCCAAAAGAAGAGGAAGCTGGGGGAGAACCTCTACACAGAGGAGGCAGAGGAGGAGACCCCCCTGTGAGCAGACAGCTGAGAACTACCTGGATAGACTCCAGACTCTGCTACTTGCCTATGCGATGGCGGGGGTAGCCCAACCGGCGACCTCCGACCCTACCTTTGATGCCAAAAATGAGGCAATCCTCGGCTCTGACAGCGCGATGTACGCCATCGCTCCGCTGGATATTTGCTTCCGGTAGCCCGCCCTCTGACACACCTAGGAGTGTACAATCCACTACGAGATATCAGCCTAACCAGTTGCCCCGTTTGTTCGGACAGCAACTTGCTGATCCCCTAACACTAATTCCCGCACAAGCCGGTGTGTTTGAGGTAGGCCTTGACTGGCATAAAGTGTTAGACACTATGATGTCGCCTGTTCGCACTCCGACAAACATCTTGACGGATCGCCTCAAGCAACTCGAGTCATTACCGGCACGCATCACCATCATTTCCTTTACCGGAGCGGGCGACCGCTATGAGTCAACGGTTCAGGAAATTGATGCATTCCGGGACCAGTGCCGTGCCGCCGGATGTCAACTCGGCGGAGGCTTCTTTTTGACTAACGAGAAAACCGGGCGCGGCGGGAAGGCAGAACTAATAAGCCGTCTTTGAATCAGGGCTTTCATGGATGACCGTGCGGACATCCTCGCCGAAATTCGAAGAACAGGCTGTTTTGCCATGGGCTTTAACGCCCGTGATTATCCCCAGGAGACCAGTGGGGCAATACAGGTGTTAACCGACTACATATGGTCGCGCCTAGCCCACTGGGACGCTCACCATCCGCTACAGGCCTTTGTGCTTCAACAATACTCGGGCCAAAGCGGTCGTGGCGGCGGCGGACGCCGACGCCGGTGACCTGTCATGCCAGCCGCTGCTTTACGCGCGGGCCCTTCGTTCGTTAGGGTAGGCATGTTCCTGGGTGCATTGATGATCACATGTTTTTACAACCTCCAGTACTCAATATCTCGAGTGTGTGGTGTGACTTTTCGGTGCTTGACCCTGCGACTTTCTACGGAACTAGTAGAGAACACAATCCTGAGAACACAATCCTGAGCCAAACATGGGTGCAACCAACGGGCAGTGGGCTTTGAGCTTGTCAGCGCAAAAGAGGTTGACGAGTCTGTCCTCCCAAATACCTGCGACTGCGGGGGAGGATTAGTTTTCTTTCCAGGTTTTTGTGCTCAGCAAGATGGATGTAGATGCGCAACTATGTGATATGATTTAGATATGATATGCATTTGTATGCGTGTGTGTGTATGTATGTAAGTATGTTTGTTTGTTTGCTTTACTGTAGTGTGGTATGTATGTATGTGTGTATGTATGTATGTATGTATGTATGTATGTA